TATCAACCATATAATGTTTGTTTTTAATCTCATCAGAAGCATTAATATCTTTTAAAAATATTGGACCCCTTCACTTGTAGCCATAAAATTAATTAAAGGTCTTCTTTGGACATCTGTCCATCCATCAGATACTATGCTAACACCTTTTGCATTCCAAGTCGATTTAATAGGTTTAAGCAACCTCTCAACATGTGCCTTCTCTTGTTGTAAGAGAGTTGTCCTCAAGGCATTGTATCCAGGAGGGAGAAAACCATTAAGCATGTGATTTGCAGCAAATGAATAAGAATTCACATAATAGAGATTTCTGGCAAGATTGAAGGGCAATCTAGAAGAATAAAACATTAATTCTAGCAATAAGAGCTTTGAGATTATCTCTATTTTCTAAATTAAATGCTTTCTCCAAAGGACTAACTTTTCTCTTTTTCAATAAAGAACTCTGATGCATTTTCTTTGTAGGCAATGGGACATGCTTAGGTTTCACTTTATTTTCAGCCAATTCAACCAAATATTGATCATTTACACTTGTACACACAAAAATTCCAGTTCCATAAGTCCTCAACAAATGAGCTTTAACTCTTGAATAAGAACTTCTATAAACCTTTTGACAAAAATTACAAGACCAACTCTTATTTCTTCCCTCTTCTGAATTTTTATCTAATATGCTAACATAACACCAAAGAGGAGCATGATCATCTTGTACAACATCATCATAAACGAACTTACTTGGAATTTTAGAATTGATATTAGAATCAGAATCAGAATCAGAAGCATTTGCCGTTGACATTATAAATAAATAATTTTTATGCTTCTTCAAAAAAAAAAGCATATCTATGTTAAATTGCTAATTGTTAAATAAATTATACAACTTAAAAATTTTAATCACTCTAAATCATAAAAGTATAAATTATAAAAAAGTATATCTATGTTAAATTGCTAATTGTTAATTTTTTTTATACATTTTACTATTTTAGAGATGCTAAAAAAGAATTAAAAAAATTCTAATTATTATTAATTTACAATTTACATAAATTTAAAAACTTTTTAAATAAATCATAAAATTAAATGTAAAAAAACAATGAGTGATTATTCTAAATGTGTATCTGATACGAATATGTTTTGATACGCTTCGGATACGTATCTCAAACGTATCTAGAGTGATTTTGTTAAAAAAAGAAAAAAAGAAAAAATATTTTGCAGATTTAATGTTATACGAATCCATTGATCAAAAATCAAGCATAAATAAGCAAGAAAATAAAGAAATTTGAGACGAAGAATACAGAAATATTTTGCAGATGTGTTGATCTGTTGCAGCCAAACACTAGTGACCCACTCATCCAGGTAAAAAATATCATCTCTTTTTCTTTATTATTCTTCCCCTAGGGTTTCCGTAGTGAGTGAGAAGGGGACTGGGCAGTGAGTCTCATGTCTTATGCGGTGTGCGCAGTGAGTCCCGCATCTTCTGCAGCGTGCGCAGTGAGTCTTATGTATATATATGCCTAATGGGAGATTTAAGGGTAGAAATAAATAGGATTATTTTAGGCTTTGAATATATAAGTCAGACTTATTTTATAAAATTAAAATTTAAGTTTAACTTGACATTTTAAAAAGTTTGATCTGACATTAATTTATTTAAAAAATTTATTTTATATTAACAAATTTAATTAGATCAATAAGAATAAATTTTTTAAAAAATCAACAAATATATTTTTATATATATTGTTATGAGTTATTTTTTTTAATTTACGTTATAAAAAAATATTTTACTCGATATCATTAAAACTTAGGTTTTAAAATAAATATATACAATATCATAAAGCAAAAAATGAATAATATTTTTTGTTAGATAAACAATTCGTGCGCACTCATGTATGTTAACATACACTCATCCATAGGGTATATGCATTTAATGAAAAAGGATAATTTTATTCTTATCCAAATTTTTTTTAAAAAAATATTTCTTATATATCATTTGACATATTATAAATAAACAACTCTTATTTTAACAAATTATAAAAATATCTATTGTACATGAGGTGATTTTTAGGATACATATAGATGCAGCTGTTAGGATTTTATTTGCGATTTTTTAATTTTATATGAACAAGGTAGGCAAAATGTTTAAGTGGAGTGATAAAAAAATATTGATGATTTTTTCATTTTATAAATTTATTTATTTATATTGTTGATAGTATATGTATCTTTTTTCATATTATACATATAAATAGACTGATTTATTAAATCTAATAAATTTTTTTATAAACCTAAACTCAATCTTTTAAATAAATAAGTTTTTTTTAAGTCTAAATCTAACATTTTTATTAAATAGGTTAAACTTTAAAGAAGTCAGATCATAAACCTTTATTTAAGTTTTAATTAAACTATTCACATTCTTAATGAGATTAGAGTGTCATATATGTCATGTTGTTATTGTAATTTTTATTGATAAAAAATATACATAATGACATGATAAAATAACTTATTACAACAAGAGCATTTTTAGACTTTATTTTTAGAAGTTTTTTAAATTTTTATTTAATTATTTTATTTTTTATTTATAAATTAAATTTTATTATTTGAAAATAAATTATTAATTATTAAAAATAATATTCTATAATAATATAAATTATTTATCATAAGTTTAAAATATAATTTATAAATTAAAAAATATATTTATGTAAATTTTAAATATCATTTATATATTTAAATACAATATTGGAAATAAAATATATATAGTTATATATACAATAAACATTTATTTATGCAATACACATTAAAATACAAGTTTAAATACATTGATGGTATAAAAATTTACATTATCATTTAATTATAGATTATTGTTACGATAAATTTTTTTATTCATGTAAAAAAAGATATTTTAAAGTCTAATTTAAATTTATTTTTAATAAAAATTCTTAAAAACACACTCCTTTATCATAGTATGTGCTGCATTAGAAGAAAAATAAGTTTTAAAATAAATGTTATGTTAATTTTTTAATGTAATATTTATTATTATTTTTATTTATACTCCTAATAATATTATGTAAAAAATAAGTTTTGTGTTGCATCTTTTTAGAAAAAAATAATTATAAGATTAATTTAGTAAAATTACTATTTTTTTTCATTTATTTATTAATTTTTTTTGTTCTATATAAAATAATCTGAATGACATTTATTATGGGACAAAAATAATTTTACATGTTAGTTCTATTTTGAAATTTGAATTAGTACTCTCCTCTGAAAAATTTCATAAAAAATTTATTAGTCCAGATTGTTATTTAATCAATTTCATTAATTATTTTCTGATTTAAAAAATAAATAATAATATGTGTTATAAAGTATTGCATTAATAATGTCCTTAAAAATAATATTTATAGTGAGCGAGTTTGAAAATTAAATAAATTATGATATATTTAATGATTTTATTTAATAAATGAATCTCATTTATTAATTTTTTACCAAATGGTTTGAAAAAAGAGATATGAAAAAATATTTTGAAATACAGAAGTTGCCCTGTATTTGTTTGCCGTAAAAATTTTAAAAATCCTGAGATGAAAAAGAAAGGTCAAAGCGTTGACCGATGAAGGAGGCGATTTTCGTCTGAGCGAGAGAAGAAACGGCTAGGACTCGGTAAGGAAACTCGGAAGAGTGCGCGCATAAAAGTGAGTGCGCAGGTCTGGTGCACGATAGTAATGCCACTAAGATGCCGCCACGTAGCATTCACCTTCTCCCACCGCGTCGTGCCACACTCTCCCGCGAGAGAGTATAAAAGAAACGAAAGAGAAAGAGTCACAAAATAAATAAAAACAAAATTATTTTTTCTTTTTCTCCCATTTCCCTTTCTTCGTTTTGTTTCACTTCACGCCATTCTCGTCTCCTTCAGCAAAACGGTTTTCTCAGAAATTCCAATTCTGTCCCTCGCAGCTCATCCAATTTTCCAATCCGCGCCATGGCTCCAGCCGCCTCCTCCCCCTCGGCTCAGAGGCACGTGGGCTTCAGCCGCCGCACGCAGGCACCGCGCCGGCAAGACTCGTCCTCGCCGACTCCCGCGCCGAAGAAGTACCGCATGCTGACGGAGGTAATGGCGCGCGCACCCTACGCGGTGCTGGAACGGGAGACCTACAGCGACCTCATGTGCGAGCAATGTGGCTCCGGCGAGCTGCCGGACGAGCTGCTTCTCTGCGACAAATGCGACAGAGGCTTTCACATGAAATGTGTGAGGCCAATCGTGGTCAGGGTTCCGATTGGATCGTGGCTTTGCCCTAAGTGTCAGGGAGGGAAGAGAGTGCGCCGTAAGGGATTCTCTCTTTCTGTGACATTCTTTTATCTTTTTATCGCATGCGATCATTAATGTGGCATTGTGTCTGCGGGTTTCAGCTTTCTCTCAGAAGAGGATAATCGATTTCTTCGGGATTCGGAGGAGCTTCGCTGATGATGCCAACGACAAACGATCTTCTCGCGGTAATGATGAAACTCGGACATGGTTATGTTTGTTTGATATCTGCATGTTTAACTCTCTTATTTTTTTTTTAAAAATTTTAATAATCATTTTGAGAACACACATTGACTGAATCGAGTTTTCTATCTCCGTTTGGCTTTGTGACAGCAATGTGGATTGAATTTAGTTTCGGTGAATCATATACCTTGCTGCACCAATTTATATGAGAATAATAATTGAACATCCGAGTGTAGTTTGTGAATTATGTGTTATATTAGACACGTGAATGAGTTTATGTAATGTAATGATCGTTTGAAATTGTGTTAAGATTTTGTGAATGCAGCATTTGTGTTTGGGTGAGGACTTAATACTCTTAAGGCTTGTGGATTGTTTCTTTTTGAATTATGCATGATATGGGAGTACGGATGTTTCCATTACTGAGTTCGGCAAATTTTAAGCATGATTTTCTATAGATTCTGTTGTTTACTGAAAGATATTAGTTGGATTTTCCATGCATATAAGTCTATAATAATATGACAAGTTAATTAAAACTACTTGCAATTATCATGGTTGAGATTGAATGAACAGATAGCTACTATAGTTCTTTATTTTCTTCCTTATTTATGTGCCTTTATTTTTCATGATCGTGGCATTAAGATTGGATTGAAGAAACATGGTATTTCATAAAAAGATTTGAATTTTAATTTCTGTTGCATGACAATATGAAAATTACATGTGAGGATGATGCTAAGTCACATTTGGTGCAATCCTTCACTGTCTTTACAAAGCCTAATCTGTTGTTTGAAGGCAAAAGACGCCAATCAAATGTCTAATCTGTTGTTTAGCATATATACGCCTCCATGCTTGTAGAGAATTGTACTGGACCTATTTTTTTCTTTCATGAATAACTGGTCGAAATTCCCCCGGCTTTGTATGAGAATGCATTCATACCTCATTTAATTCATTAGTTATGTGAATCTCCTAACTTTTATATAAAGTTGCAGCTAACATTGAACCAAATATTAACTTTTAGGCCAAATTTCATTGTATTAAATTGATGTTTTTTTAATCAATGTCATAATATGATTCTTTTGCAGTATATTACCTTAGTAGTTAACTAATAAGCACAATGCTGCTGCTTGGAATTTAGCAACAAAAGGCTGTAAACAATTCTTAACAACACAAATACTAAATGGTCAAGTTGATGTTTCCAAGGAACAAGAAAAATGAAATGGATGCTGGAGTCATGATTTATATCTAGACTTTGGAAGTAGAAAAGGAAAATTTGACATCAATATAGATAGATTGATTTGAAAACAATCTATCATTTGGCAACAAATGAAGTTAATATATCAACTTTTCATGAAAACTAGAAAGATTTTGGCTTAATTGAAAAAATGTTACACTCAACATTTCATTTATGTGTGCTCTTCATTACAAATAACAAAGGCAGCAGAATAAATGACGCATGTTAACATCCCTTTGAATATTTGTTTCTTCAGGTTATTGATGAATTATATTCTTGTATGCTTTGGTTTTCCTAGACTGGAAATGGCAACTTATACTTTAATGTTTGTTTTTACTGCACACAGGATGTACCATGAATCTTTAGATGATTTTTTATTAGTAAAGGAGCCAAAAGAAAAAGATACTTTTTTTACCTAAACTTTTATGATCATGTTTTGACATGTTCTTAATATTCGGGTCATTTGTAAAGGGTACACTTAAGTATACTTATGCCTCCACTTTGTGGGATGTCTATATAATCCTAAACATAAGATATCTGATTGGAGTTTTCTTTTTTCTTGATTTATCTATTCTGAATTTGTAGATGCTAAGAAGCGTCGCAAACGTTCTCGACCTTTGGTATTACAAAAGAAAAAGAGGAGATTGTTACCATATGTTCCTACAGAAGATCCTGACCAGAGAATGAAACAGATGGGTTCCCTTGCTACTGCTTTAACAGCGTTAAATATAGAATTCAGTGATCACCTCACATATTTGCCTGGAATGGCTCCTAGATCTGCGAATCAAGCCCTACTAGAAGACGGTGGCATGCAGGTTTCAACTAATTAATATTTTTTATAGATTTTTATCCTTAGAAAACCTGTAACAAACAGGTTAATTTATGAGCATGCACATCCCCATCATTGTGCTCTTGTTTGATAGATTTTTTTTTACTGTTTTCTCTTAGACTCTTACCAAGGAAGATATGGAGACTGTAGAACACTGCAATGCTATGTCTAAAAGAGGCGAATTCCCTCCCTTTATGGTTGTTTATGACTCACATGAAGGGTAACCATCTTGAACTTATTGTCATAAGTATGAAATCAACTTGACGTGTCCTGACCTTTTTTTGATACTGTGATGTAGTTATACTGTTGAGGCTGATGACACAATCAAGGATATGACACTTATTGCTGAATATACTGGGGATGTGGATTACCTTCGCAAACGGGAACGTGATGATTGTGACAGTATGATGACCCTTCTTATTGCTGCAGAAAGTTGTGATAGTCTTGTTATCTGTGCTGATAAACGTGGAAACATTGCTCGCTTTATCAGTGGCATCAACAATCATACACAGTAAGCCTATCTTGTTTATCTTTTGCCATTGCCAATTCCTGAATAAAAATAATAGAGCAGGAAGATAGGGAGAAAATTATACAGACCTTTCCACTTGAGATTCTTTCAATATGTGCGCATACTTCTTGCAGTCCAATTTATAAGTTGTTTGACTTTAGTATGCTCTTTAAAGAATTCAACATTTTAGATTCTAACTTTACTTTTTCTTTATCATGTACTGCAATATTACTAATTCTTAAGTATCTTGTATTTAAAGCATATTGAATGTTGATGCAGGGAAGGTAGGAAGAAGCAGAATTGTAAATGTTTGAGATACAATGTTGATGGCGAATGTAGGGTCTTTTTGGTTGCTACTCGAGATATTTCTAAGGGGGAGAGACTTTATTACGATTATAATGGTCATGAGTATCAATACCCGACTCATCATTTTGTCTGAGTGAAAGACATAAATACCTCTTAAAAATCCCTATAGCTCTGGAAAGTTTAGATCCTCAGGAAAATAATTTTATTTATATTCTTGAAAGTCTCAAATCATTGTTCTAGCAAATTCAACAATTTTTTTTCCTAAATTGTATTCATGGGCAATTCATTGTAATTTTTTCTGTAGAGCTGCCCAATTATTTATGTGGCTTAGAGATGAATAGAGTACCTTAGGAAATCTTTCTTCATTTAGGTTATATCTCAGAAGATGAGATATACATTTTTCAATACAGTTTCAAGGAATTTTAAAGATTCCTGGATTTTACTTTGAAGAATTTGGCTTTGATTTTTATTTTCTTTTCCATATCTTTTATTATTTCTTTAAATACTAGTGTTTTGAATGAAATATTGGTCAATCATGTTCTATATTCCAACCTAAGCCGTGAGAGTGAGGGTCACTTGAAAATACATATATATATATATATATATATATATATATAGACATCTCTCTCTTAAATGTTTTTCTTGCATTCAAAAGAAACACTGTCAAGTGTTTGTTAAGTTTTATATGCATATCCACCTTTATCAGATGCAACGAGTATTCTCTTGCAGAAATCTTGATTTTTGAATGAAATTCATGTTGGAATTTCAGTAATTGGTATATTGAGGTTAAATTCTTTGTTATACTTTTACTTAGACTTTATGGGGGCGTGTAGGTGCATTTAGTAAATTATAATTCTGTGATTTGTAAGACCTCTATTCCATGTCCTCCATGAATTGAGAATACCACATTGATAGGTAGTTTATCGTGTATTTTATACATTACTTCCTGTTTACACGTCAGTTAGAGAGAATAGAATAATTCTTTTAGGTCCTTAATTTTGGATTTTAGGATTTTGATGTTTATATTGGGAGTTTCAAAACTATTCATTGTCAACTACATTTATTTCATAGGACATATGCCTTTCCGTGTTTGGTTGTCATTACTCTCACTGAATGGTATTTTTTATAGAGATGTAATGCCCCTCCTGTGGCAAAAGCTTGAGGGCGTTTTGCTCGAGTTCAAACAAGATTTTTTCTACTTTCTAGGTTTCCTTTGTTTTGGATCTCTCTTCATTATTAGATTCATATAGGGTGTTGCTATATTTGGTAGATTGGCTAATTCCTGTATGCTACTATTTTTCTTTCGAAAATAAATATTGCATCTTCTATGTTGATTTTGAGAATGTGTGAGGGCAAACTAACTCGCTTGTTGTCAACGACTTTGCCAACAATAGTGTAACAGTGTAAAACTATATCACAGAGTCTAACAACTTATGCACACATCTACACACCATAAAAAAAAAAAAAAAGTAAACTTTGCAACTCAGTCTGAAAAACTTGTGGAGAATATGGCAAAGTTCGCATTCGAATTTTGTTTATGAAAAGAAAATGTCATTAAGAGTATACTCCTATTATATTATGAATATTCTTCATTTATCTATTGATGTGGCAAAGCTGTGTAAAAAAGTGTAGCACTAAATTAGATTTTCAATCCTAACGTGAAAAAACAAACAGTTTGGTGAAATAATTCTTCCAAATCATGTTTTACATATCCAAATGGTAGTATATGTTACAGCATTTTAGGGTAACATTAGATACTTACTAAGAATGAATGTAAATACTCTCCATGTTTATTGAGATGTAAGATTCAATTTGTCATTAATTTTGTGGGGATGTCTCTCGTTATTTTTGGCAGCATCTTATCAAGGATTTCGGTCTAGGCGTCTAGCCCTCAAAAGTATTAAAACAAGAGTCAGCTCTGAAATATGGACCACATGCAATTTTTTATTGGAAAGAATTATGTTTTAAATTATTATAAATGGTAAAATTTTCTCTCTAAATGTTTAAAGTAATTACATATTCAGATTCTAACTCGAAACTTTTGATTAAATTAAAATAATCTCATGTTAATTGATCTATAAGTTCATTAGTTTCACTTCGTTTCATCGTGTTTTAAATGATATAAATAATGGAATTTAACATCTTTCTATTTATTTAAAGAGAACTTAACTGTATTTTATTTTCTTATGGCCTAAAACGTAAAACCCAACATTACGCTTGGAGATTTTAAAGTCCTCAAAAGTTGGGGAGCTTTATCATAATTAGTAGGCGCATTAGAAATTGAAGAAACATTGGTGTCAGATGGGTTCAGTTGTTGAGTTTTGAAATAAGCCGAAAGCAATGGACTGGTTTGTGGGTTAGAAGTTTGGGTTAATTACATTTTTTATCTTTCAAGTATTGTAATTCGGTAATTTTGATGTTCAAAGTTTTAATTCGGTAATTTTAGTTTTTAAAAGATTATAATTGTGCGATTTTGGTCATTCAATTTTTAATTTAACAACTTTAGTCCTTCTCCGGATTCAGTATAGGCCATTCTGGCCACTCCAAAATGTCTATAAATAGGGGTTGTGGGCCTTGAGGAGAATGTGAGTTTTTAGAGAGAAGTTTTAGAGAGAAGGTCTCTAGGTCTATGAGCTCCTTTGTCTCCTAAATTTCTCTATATGATTCCTTTTCTCCTCTAGACCACTAACGCCTTCTGTCCTTTCTTGAAATTCAGATTAGAAAGCTTGCTTTGGGAGGATTGAAGTTCCGGGTTGAGCTTTGGAAGGGAATTCTATTTTGTCTCAGTTGTTGACTATTTTGAGCCAATTTTCAGGTGAGGGAAGCTAGAATGTTTGTTTTTTTTTAGGTTGCATGTGAGTTTACAAACTCAATAGGTGCATGAATGTTGAGAATTCATAGATGGATTGAAGAAAATCTTATTTTTGGGGTTTTGAGAAAAAGGAGGATTTTGATAATTTTGATGCAAAGGTTGGATGTATGTGAGATTTAAATTTATTTTGAGTCGTATGGAGCCTATACATTGTGTTTTGTGTTTGCATGTGGCTGAATTTGTTAGTTTGGATGAGAGTTTTGAACTCTCTGACTGGGATTTAGGCCAAGCGCAGGTTGAGCGCGCCAGGCGTGGAAGAGCTTAGGGCTCTCGGGTTGGATGTTGGGCCAGGCGTGATTTGGTTGCGTCTGGCGTGGAGACTCTTAGGAGTCTCTGTCTCAAGGACACCGAGCGTGAGTTGAACGTGACGGGTGTGGATGAGTTTTAGGACTCTTAGGTTGGGATTAGGCTGGGCGAGCTCAGGCTACGCCGAGCGTGAATATGTTTATAAATAATTGATTTAAATTGATGCTTATGCATGTTTAAAGTTGAAATTTTAGATCATGTATGTATGATATATGATGTATAGTGGAGTGTGATTCATATGTATGCTTTGTGATCATATATCTGATACGAATATGTTTTGATACGCTTCGGATACGTATCTCAAACGTATCTAGAGTGATTTTGTTAAAAAAAGAAAAAAAGAAAAAATATTTTGCAGATTTAATGTTATACGAATCCATTGATCAAAAATCAAGCATAAATAAGCAAGAAAATAAAGAAATTTGAGACGAAGAATACAGAAATATTTTGCAGATGTGTTGATCTGTTGCAGCCAAACACTAGTGACCCACTCATCCAGGTAAAAAATATCATCTCTTTTTCTTTATTATTCTTCCCCTAGGGTTTCCGTAGTGAGTGAGAAGGGGACTGGGCAGTGAGTCTCATGTCTTATGCGGTGTGCGCAGTGAGTCCCGCATCTTCTGCAGCGTGCGCAGTGAGTCTTATGTCTTTTGCGGGGACTGAGCACCTTTTTATTTTTTGAATGACAATATGCAATTTTTATTTTCTTTTTATTTAAATTGTAAAAGGTGTTAATATAAAATTATAATTTTATGATGATTTTATAATTATTAAAAATAGATAATTATTCCTGCAGCTTTACACATTTAGAATAATCACTCATTGTTTTTTTACATTTAATTTTATGATTTATTTAAAAAGTTTTTAAATTTATGTAAATTGTAAATTAATAATAATTAGAATTTTTTTAATTCTTTTTTAGCATCTCTAAAATAGTAAAATGTATAAAAAAAATTAACAATTAGCAATTTAACATAGATATACTTTTTTATAATTTATACTTTTATGATTTAGAGTGATTAAAATTTTTAAGTTGTATAATTTATTTAACAATTAGCAATTTAACATAGATATGCTTTTTTTTTTGAAGAAGCATAAAAATTATTTATTTATAATGTCAACGGCAAATGCTTCTGATTCTGATTCTGATTCTAATATCAATTCTAAAATTCCAAGTAAGTTCGTTTATGATGATGTTGTACAAGATGATCATGCTCCTCTTTGGTGTTATGTTAGCATATTAGATAAAAATTCAGAAGAGGGAAGAAATAAGAGTTGGTCTTGTAATTTTTGTCAAAAGGTTTATAGAAGTTCTTATTCAAGAGTTAAAGCTCATTTGTTGGGGAGTCAGATTAGGGTTTCGCGCCCGGCGCATAAGTCTTTACGCCCGACGCAATGTCTTCCAGAGAGTTTGAGTTACTCTCTGTCTCGATCACGCCCGGCGCGGGTAGTCTTGTGCCATGCGCAGATATGACTTGCAGAGGTGAGGCTCTGTTTTGCTCAAGCCCGGCGCGAGTCATCTTGCGCCCGGCATAGTCACTCTTCTCTGCTCCTTAGCTTCTTAGATTTCCAATCCTATGAATCTTCAGTCCTCAAGTCTCTAGCTCAATACCTGCACAAAAATGAGGTGTATTAAGATATTGTTAGCTAAATTTGGGTTAGTTATATCTGCACACAAAATGAACCAAAAAGAGACCAATTATATTGCAATGGTTCAAAGGATGAGTGGAATTGTTCAATAAGTCTTGTCCAAAAAGAAGTATAATTGAGACTTAACAACAATTACAATACTTGAGGGATCAAAAACACAATTAAGCCTAGAAGTTTTCAATCATGCATGCCAATATTTATGATCATGTCAAAATATAATTGTTCCGATAGGAGACTTCATTCATAGTTATTTTGTCATTTGGAGTATTGAAATGCATGACAGTTTGCTTTAAAATATTTAATTGTGAATTCAAACATTTTCTTAGCAACTATCTCATTCAAGAGTATTTAGTGAGAATTACTTGTTTTTTATTTCTTATACGATGAGGGTTTTATATTCATTTATTTCACATTTATAGGTTTTGAGATAAAAATTCACCTGAGTTTTCTATTATTAATTTCTCTAAAATCTTATTTTTAACTTATGTATAAGTTAATTTTATTTTATGAAAAAATTATTTTGATTTTCTTTCTTAATTTTTTCTTCTAAAAATGCTTTTGAAAATGTTTATCCAAATATAGCCTAAGTTGATAACAATAACTTTTTTTTTCTTATTCAAA